AAAAAAAAAAAAAAAAAACTAAAACAAACAAACAAAAAAAAGACATGGTCCCTGTCCTTAAGGCAAGGATCCTCTTGGAGGGGTGACAAGATAGATAGAGCGCCATGGTATAACTTAACTGAAACTAAACTGAAGAGCAGTGAAAAGAGAGGTTTAAATAAAGTCAGTTCACAGAAGGATTATTTCCTGACAGACTGATAAATGGTGCCTCTTTCTACCCAGCATCCATTGCAAGAAATCTGTAGGTAGCTAAAACCATACCCTATACTCTGAAACACACTAGGTAAGCTGTAACATGTAACTGTGAATTCACTTAAATACAGTGTGGTGGATGAATGCTATCCAAGCCTTTACTTTCACTTTATTTTCTGAAAGTCTCTAGTGTGATATTTCTCTAACAGATGTGGCCATTCACCTTCCAGCCGTGTGAGATAAAATTAAATCCACTGCCATTGAATCAATTCCAACTCATAGCAACCCTATGGGACAGAGTAAAACTGTCCAATAGGGTTGCTATATGGAAGCGGACTGCCACGTCTTTCTTCCACAGAGCAGCTGGTGAGTTTGAACCACAGACTTTTGGTTAACAGCCAAATGCCTTAACCACTGCACCGCCAGAAATAAGCAGAGTTAATAAACAAGCGTCTCCCATCTTGATCAATCAAGTTTTCTTCCTTTGTGTGATGTTTCTAGACAGCTTATAAAATGCAGTCACTTAGCTTTTAAGGGCAATTAAAATGTTGCCCTGGAACTTGTCTTTGGCTACTGAGGGAGTAGGGCAAACACTTGATTCATCTCCACCCTGTTATTGATTATGTCCGCTACTTTGGTATTTGGAGGAAAATGCAAATACATCTCACTTAACTCATTGCAAAACCAGCCTCAACCCTAACTATAACTTTAGAAATCACACCGTAAAGTGATTTCAACTTTTATATCTTGTTTGCACAGAGCAAGGCGCCAGACTTTACAGTATCAACCTCTCCAAAGAGAAGCGCAAACACCAGCCAAGAGCCAGCTCCAGATATGAAGCCAAACTGGTTCAAGAGCAGATACCCTGTTGTGAAGAGAGGCCGCACCACCATGCCAACGTACCCATCCCTGCACGTGTACACCTACCCATAGGTGGACTGGGGCTGCACTGTGCACACAGCTGTTGTGTGCCCCTGGAGCGTGTTTGGGGTTAGACACATTTTATAATGGGAGTTATAGGATTGGCAACTTCATTCTTTGAGAGGTATAGTGTTTTGCACACATCAAGCATTCACCTTATACTTTGTGCTTACACTGTGTGCATGCCCTCAAGATGCATACCTCAAGAATTAAATTATTTTTTCATAAAGTGAAATTTTATTACAATGTATAGAAAAGCTTTCTTTATCAGAAACTCAAGTGTGTGCTCACAGAACTACAGCACAGATATACCTCATTTTAACCAAGAGATATTCTCCCTAAAGTTATGTGCAGATGAATTTCAAAAGATCAACCTATTTTAAGCATATTCTGGGAGTGTGCTGTATAAAAAAGTCTATGTCAAAGCCTCTAGCAATAAATGACCAGGCAGACTGTTGTATACCAGGTTCACTCCCATGTAGAGAAAACAGTTCTCACGTTACCCAGATTTTATCATTTGTATGTTGCATATAATGTGTTCAACATGATTATATAAATTTTTTAACCCGTGGATTAAAATGTTTTCTCTCTAACCAGTTGTTTTCTTTGATTGGTCACTGCATAGTCTTATGTAAATAGATATTTTATATCAGCCTTTTCTTTTCAATCATCTCTCACAGGCACCTAGTCTGCTAGCTGCGTCATGGCATGTCAACATGCTGGAATCATGTCAAAGAAATGTCACACCAGCTATGCCAGGCCTCTGTTTTGACTGCCTTTTCCCTGTCATATAGAATTGAAAACTTGTTAGCATAGTTACCGTAATCGCTTTAAACTCTTTCAGCCACTGCCACTACTGAGGTGACTGCGGTTAGAACCACATGACGGCACAGATTTCATTACTGTCCCAGCGTGTGAGTCTTTTGAAAGGAAATGATATCTACCCATGCTCGGTTTGGTCCGTAGGGAGTTGTGAGTGGCCGTAGCCCGTTTCACGCCTCTCTGAATCCTAGAACTATTAGCACTTTAAGTATCCAGAAAGCACTCAGCCAAAGCCCCATTTTTTTGTCCCTAATGGGATATCCTTAAAGAACAAGGCAAACTTTGAAAGTTGTTCAGAAATACTTCATTTTTTTCCTCTATGTAGTTTTGGAGAAAGTTTGCAAAAGTTAGTGCATCCAGTATGATAATATTTTTTTAAGAAAAAAAATCGGAATATATGACCAGATGTTTTTTTCTAATGTGCTTCTTGAGAGCAAATTACTCTGAGTAACATGGTTTAGATGCTGAGATGTTGAAGGGGCCAAAAGGAGAAACCCCCGTGAAATCCAGGTGAACCTGCCCATCCAAGACTGCTTATAGGCCATGGTGGTTAAATTTCACCGTTGGCCTGGCCTACCATTGATGCTGGAAACCACTTCCAGTTTCTTCTCCTGTCCTGAAAAGAGAGCAAGTTGTCCTCCTCAGATTAGGAAGGCGCGCCCACCCGCCAGAGTTACACTCCGCAGCTCCTCAAAGCCAGTGTGTCATTTCTCACTCTGCTTTTGGCAAGGGGCTGAGAGGGGTGACAGGCTAGAAATACGTGAATGACGAGCTGAGGTAACTGACCTTCCTACCAGAACAGGGTCAGTAAATGTCAGGCTGCTGGAGAAACGATCTGAAGCATCTTTCACTGCACAGGAACCATGAGAACAGATTCAGGAAAAAGCAGAAGAATAACTTGTTAATCAGATCAAAGGATAAAATCAGCTTTACACTCAACAGTTCCCAACAAAAGTTAGGGTTTTAAGGAAAAAATAATGAATGTACTTTATTCTTTGTTTTCTTGGTGAACTAAATGTATCATCATTGATAGAAGTAATTTTCTGAGATTAAAGATGAATTTCAGGTAAACAAATTTTCTTAAGAAGCTTTATTTTTTTGGACGATAACTGAGGTCCTGTTACTGTCTGGTGATAGCATACCCTTTCCTGTTCTTGGAGATGTGACAACATCTCTTGAAAGTGAACCAACAATCTAAACAGATAAACCCATGACAGTAAGCGTTACTCTAAAAAGTTTTTGATAGAACATTAAATAGTGGGACTCTATGCGCTTGGAGGGAACACAGCACTCAGTCCCCCTTCCCTAGGCTCTGAGAGCCATCCCTCCACCACCTCCTCACAGTCACGCTTGGACAGCCTCAAGGCCCCCTCCCCCAGTCACTGCCTCTCCTCTTCTTCCTCCTCTTCCCTCCCTCTCCTTCTCCCCTCTTTCTGCTCCAAAGTGGCCAGAATTACAACCAGGACTCAAGCCACCATCAACCACCAGATTAACCTGAAGCTCTCAGCCTCCTATGTTAACCCATAGTCTGTGTTTTTCTTACTTTGACTACGATGATGTGGCTTTGCAGACTTTTGCCAAATACTTTCTTTTTTTTATTATGGTTTGGGTGGGAGTTTACAGAGCAGATTAGTTTTCCAGTCAACAGTTCATACACACTTTGTTTGGTGGCATTAGTTGCAGTCCCCTCGGTGTGACAGCATTCTTCCTAATTCCTTCCTCGGTTCCCTATTTCTGTTTGTCCTTTTCTTCCCCTTCCTGCCTTCTGAACTTTGTGGGCCAAATATTTTCTTCACCAATCTCATGAGGAGAAGGAACACACTGAGAAACCGATGAAGCTGCAGAACCAAGGGATGGTTGAATCTTCCTTGGGATACAAGAAACTAGGCCGTTATGTCTGGGAGAGCAGGCTGAATACAGAGTGTGGACCGACCACCAGTTGCCATGGAGTCGATTTGACTCACCGCCATCCCATGTGGTTCAGAGGAGAACCACACACGCTCCGCAGGGCTTTCAATGGCTGTGATCTTTCAGTAGTAGATCGTTTACGCTTGGAAAAAAGCATGAATCAGTCACTACTGGAACTACACAGGTGGGCCACCAATGAAAACATAACCTACTTGTGTGACTTCTTTGAGACACATTGCCTGAATGAATAGTAGAAACCCATCAAAGAATTGGGTGACTGTGTCACCACTTGCACCAGATCTGGCCTGGCAGAGTATCTCAATTGACAGGCACACCTGGGAGACAGTGATGAAGAAGGCTAAGCTTTAGCCTGACTTCCCCACGACCGTGAGCGTGACTTCTGTAATCACCAAGGCAGCGCATACATACTGGATTTACCTCTACCTTTTCTGTAAGTTGTGCTGAAACATCCACTTAAGTTCTTTCCTTTGTACCGTTACTTCAAATAAAGTGATTTAATACCTCCCCACCCCACCCCCCAAAAAAACAAAAACCATTGCATTGAGCAATGACTGACTTAGGAACTATGGATAATGCCATGATGTGTAAGACTCCATTCTTGCCTCTGTACTTAACCACGTGGAGAACAGACATGTGTATATGGATTACTTAGAAAAGCAAACCAGTCAGTAAGACATTCTTCTGGCTTCAGAACATTGTAGTGGTATAGGGAGAGCCACTAACTTGGAATTTAAACTGCCCATGTTTGAGTCACTCTGGCTGGGGGCGTGGGGGGGTGGGCAGTTGCTCAACTGTTCTGGGCCTTTATTTTCTCACCTTAAAAATAACTGTCCACTCACAAGCTTTTTTTTTTTTTACTTGTGTGTGTGTGTGTGTGATTTGGGTGAAAGTTTACAGAGCAAATTCACTTTCCATACAGCAGTTCACATACACTTTGTCTCATGACATTGACAACAATTTCCCAAAATGCAACAGCTCCCCTCCCACTTCCTCCCCATAGTTACCTCTTCCCTGTGTCCTTCCCGCCATGCACTCTTGCCCCGAGCTATGTCCCCATGCATACACAGCCCTTCTATTCTCCCATGATTGTTCTCTCTAAGGAGTGTATCTACCTAGTGTAAATGTTCACCTCATATGCCTGTCTTTTGTTTGGCTGGAAGCCACAGGTGCACTCACAAGCTTTTAAAACCCCAATCCCTACCCACCAAAGTAGGATGTAGAACATTGTCTTTGTGGACTATGTTATGCCAATTGAGCTTGATGTTCCTCAAGACTATGGTCCTAAGTCCAGGCCCAGCAACTCATTCCCTCATGGTATTTGGTTAAGGCTAAGAAGTTTTCATACTTTGTCCTCTGTAAACCAAACCACCAAACTCAGTGCTGTTGAGTTGGATCTGACTCATAGCAACCCCTCATTGGGTTTCCAAGGCGGTATCACTACAGAAATAGATTGCTCAGTCTTCCTTGTCCCCTGTATGCTCTGTTATATTTATGTGGATATATCTGCAGCACATACAGATACATATGTGAAAATATCTTCTGTCAAAACTATATGTCTTTGTGGAGGTAGTCCCATTTGTCTTCCCACACCTGTTCAGTTTGAGTGTCTATCCATACTGCTGTTACTACAGGATTGTGTATGTGATAGCCATCTAAGGTGCAACTATTGGTCTCTCGCAATCTGGAGCAAAGAAGAGTATGAAAATCAAAGACAGGAAATAGTTAGTCCAAAGGACTAATGGACTATGTGAACCCCAACCTCTACTACCATGATACCAGGAGAACTAGATGGTGCCCAACTACCACTGCTGACCTCTCTGAAAGGAATTACAATTGTTATGTTGTTATGAACCGTCGAGTCGGACCCGACTCACAGTGACCCCTCCTTGGGTTTCCGAGGCAGTATCACTACAGAAGTAGATTGCCCCATCTTTCTTCCGAGGAGTAGCTGGTGGGTTGGAACTGCCAGCCTTCTGGTTAGCGGTCAAGTGCTTAGGCACTATGTTACCAGAGCTCCCAAAGAGATAGCCCGGCTCTCTGGCGGGCTCGAACCCACAGCGTTGTGCGTGGCAGGTGACTGCCTTAAACCTGAGGATATTTCTGAAGAATATATTCCTCTGCACACCCAGAAAAAGGGAACAGAGGGAAAGGTTCTTTCTCTAAAATCCCTTCCATATTATTTCCTGCAGTTGAGCTCAATTTTAGGAGAAATTTTTCTTACTTTTATGACTGCTATCTCTGACACTTTTCAGCCCATTCCA